GCTCCTAGTGTGCATGGAGCCTAAAGCTAGGATAGAATGACTCATTACAGATGCTTCAGAACAAAGCGGTTTTGATAACAAACTCAAAAAATTCTTGATTACTGATTTTCCAATAACACCATTGTTTTACTGCCTTTTTAAGATCCACAAGCATCCTATAAAACCACCAGGATGTCCTATTGGGGATGGGAACAATTTTGTCTTACAGCCTATACATTCTTGAATCAGATACTGTGTTCCAAGCTGGCAGGAGCACAACTGATTTTGTGAATCACCTTGGCCATATAAGGACACTTCCTGAGGGTTGTTTCATTTGTGGAATGGATGCATGTAACCTACACACTTCGATTCTACATGAGGATGGGCTAGTGGTGATAACCAAAATGCCAAATGATATGTCTCCACCTCGAATCTGGTTTCATTTTCTCTAGAGCTTTTAAAGAATATTCTCACAAAGAATTGTTTCTGCTTCAACTATAAATTTGGCAGCAATACCAAGGCCTATGGGGTCCAATGTAGGCCCCGAGCTATGCTAATATTTTGATGGCAGATCTTGAGGAGAGATAGGTATATAGCCATTAATTGTACCTGTATCATGTCCTTATATGACTCAGGTACATAGTTGATATTTTTTTCATCTGGCACAGAGGTACAGAGGCAATTTTTTTAGATTTTAAGGCATGGTTGTATGGATGTCACCTCAGAATACTCTTTACTCAAAGATACAGTAATATGGCTACCAATGTTTTGGATTATCTTGTGCACAAGAAAATGATGCTTTGCACATCAATGTATACAAAACACCTACAGACATGAATACATATCTGCAGAGAGAAAGTTTCCATCCAAATGGTCTAAAACATGGGTTACCATATAGATTTTTTTTTTCAGATATCAGAGAATCATATCCTCAGATACAGTGTTCTTTGAACTGGCAGGTAGGACATTCAAGAATTTTGTGCAACAAGATGAAACATCAAGGAACCGCCAGTCATGTCACTCCCAGAAACAGGAAAGAAAAGTGATGTCACAAGTGGCTGGCAAGGTGGAGTAGCTGCTAGCAGTAGACATTGCATTTCTGTCTCTGCTTTCTTTCTCATTATTCCATTTTGTGTACTGAATTCCTGCATACATTTCTGAACATCAACTGCTGTATGAAAAAGTGGTGCTCATTTTTCTTATGTACCTGCTTGTATTTTTTTTGGTTACAGATTGGAATTAACAGTGGAGCAAATACCTATGCTATATTACGCTTGATGTGATATGACATACAGTATTTGGACATTTGTACCTATTGTATAATTATGCTTAATGTACACGCTTAACACAACTTTATTGCAAAATCAATATGTGGTATGCTTACTCTGTATATTTAAAATGATTGTACTGAAAGAATAATACACTGTGGAGGAGTTTAAACTCTCTAAAAATAATTTATTGTTGATTGCAAAATAGTGCAGATAATAGTGGTGTGCAGACATGTATTGCTAATTACATCATTTATGGGACTTCCTATAGTAGGGTGTTATTAGGAATGATGCTCAGGTTTAGACCAAAGTATAATTTGGTATGATTTTTGCCTGTTTGGCCTTCAGCTAACAGGTTAACTAAATGGCCCACCCACCCACTGAGAAAAATTCTGGCTTCAGGGGTAAGTGATGCGTTTAGCAGCAGTATTGCTACCATTCCTAAAAATGACAGCTTTTTAGGCTGCTTGTTAGGAATCCAGCGACTACTAGTTTTCTAGTGAGCCAGTAATTGTTGGTTAATATATTTGGTCAGTTACATCAGCCACCAACCCTACCTCTTTGTTTACTAACAAGTTATCAGATGGGATACTATCCTTCAGAGGGGAGTAGCAATGGAAGTGGATATTGTCGCCAGGTTTGTGTACTTCTTATTTACACAAGTTGTTAGGCATCATTCACCATGCTTGATGAGGATCTGCATTACTGAATGACATGACTGTGGGACTTTTTAAAATAAAGGACCTGCTAACAGCTTTCCGACTGCCCCCATGCAAAATTTTTTATTGGATATGTTTTATAGCAGAAAGTAAAAAATATTGTTTTTTTTTAAATGTCAGTCTTTTTTCGTTAATATAATAAAAAAAATAAAAACCCCAGTGGTGTGTTTTGTAATGCCTTGCAATGCAAAAGTGGTGTTGTAATTCTTTCATGCATGCATCCCCAGCTCTTGAAAATCATCCTGTTTGGCTGCAAATAATGTATTTAGATTATGATTTTTGAGTACTTGCTGATACATACCTAACACCTATACACTATTTGTCTATGCAAATTGCATGTTTGATGAGAAAGCTATTGTGAGAGAACACTGGCAAAATAACTTAGAGTAGTGCATTGACCTCAGTGTGTGAATCAAAGATGAAGCACAGCCACATACTAAAACAGAAGCTTTACATATCATTTCACAAATGCATCAACAAATTCTTAGTGGGCTTTAAGCAATATTTCATTTTCTCCCTTTGGTCTTACTAATAACAGAAATATGTTCACAAGATTGAAAAGTATCTTCTAAGGGCAACAATATTAATAAGAGGCATGTCAAGAAAAAGCTATAACGAAAGATTGTCTATCCTGCCATAAACATGTTTTGCCTGCAGCAATGGAGACTGAGGGGGATATTAAACAATCTTTAGGTTTCTCCAGGGAACAGACATGGTGATCACAAAACATCCCTCAACCATGTGAGGATTTGATCTGCAGGCCAAGGTTACATCTGAGTAGCCTTGCAATTTAGAAAACAACTAGGAATATTTATTCTTTAACAATTATTTGTTATTTTGATGGGGTTTTTTGTAATTTTTTCCTGTACTGTATATATGTCCTATGTTTTTTAATAGGCAGGCATTTCCTATAGTATGATGTTACAAAAAAGGAATATTTGATAAATATGTTGCGTTCTAAATACATTCTAAAAATGCTTTATTAATGTATAAGCTTGTGCAATAAGGCACAAAGAGCAATCCTATTGCCTTACAGACTAACGTTTCCATTAAAAAAAAAAAAAAAAATATATATATATATATATATATTATAAAATCATACTAGTATATTAGTCATCATACTGGTAATAGAAAAATAATAGTAGTACTAGAAATAGTTATTTATAGTAGCAATAGTATATGTTGCAGGGGAAATTGTTGTAGATATAGTAGTACATAGTCAGTACATTGGTTCCAGCAATGAAACTCTGATCTCATAGTTTCTATTGCAGGCCTTTAAAGGGTAACTCCACTTGGGAAATATATTGAAAATAAAAAAGAAATAATATAGCATATACAATTGCAACACAAGACATATTGTGATATATTGATATTAAAAATGACCTTTCCCTTTCAATCTGCAGAGCTGTAATATTCTGTAAACTGTAATTCCACTTTCCACATTAGAACCTTGCAAATGCAGCAGCTGATCAATAATGAACAAGTCACTCCCATTCACAGTTATGTTGCATGTGGACACAGATAAACATTTATTTCTTCAGAATAACAAAAGGTAGGAATCTGCAACATAGAGGGGAATGTTTTTTTTTTCTCAATGAAAGTGGAGTTACTCCAAACTCATAAGTAAACCTGAGAACAAAAATATATTATATTGCAGTTCAGGAGTCCTTAGATGGGGTGGTTGCATTAGTTTAAATTTTTCAGGATGAGAACATTTTAACAAGTGCAGAAAATACCTGTTGATCTTGTCAGAATTAAAGTTTTTTTTTGTCATCCTGTGAGAATAACTGGAAGCAAAAATAATTTATTTCTTGGGGAAACTACAAACCCCAGCACCCCCATGTAATGAAGGTAAACAAAGGCAGAGAAGTTTGGAGTCCAGTCTAGTTGGTTTCTTCCATAGAAACAATGAAGAAGTGAGTGTAGCCATCTAGAAACAGTGCATATTCGCAGGATTACCAGGTGAAAATAAAGCATGAAAAATGAAAGCAAATGCAGCCACCACATGTAAGGAGTCAGGACTGGTAAGCTGCAGAATATTACTGAATATGTTTTTGGTTTAGTTATGCTTAAAAGTGTTATTATGGTCTTATGTCTAGCGGCAACATGGACTTTGTTGCAATTACAGAGACATGCATTTACATGACTGGAAATAACTATACCTATAACTATATACAGGGTACACACTATACATAAAAGACAGAGTAGGAAACAAGGGAGGTGGAGTTGCTATATGTGTTAAAAATTGCTTAGGGCTAGCGCTAATTCAAAAAACAAATGAAATACTTGAAACCCTCTGGATTTGCCTTTTAACCAGAAAAGGATCTTCCTTTAGAATTTGTGAAGTATACAGACCCCCAGGACAGTCTGAGGTTTTTGATAATTTGTTATGAATGAATAAATTAAGGGAGAAGTTTTAATTATGGGCGACTTCGACATGTCTGCTATTAACTGGAATTTTCAAACTGCAATTACAAGCAGGATCAGGGATGTGACGGTGGCACTGAATGGGGCTTATCTGAAACAGTATAAAGTTCAACCCCAGAAGATCATATGCTAGACCTAGTACTGTCAAATGGGGATCAAATGTCAGATGTTGAGGTGGTAGACAATTTGGGTTCTAGTGATCACCAATGTTTTTTGTTTAATATCAACACAAAAACTGAAAAACCTTATTAAAAAAAAACAAGTTTGGGATTTTAAAACTACAAATTTAGCTGAAATGGGTGATTTTCTAAAAAAATTAGTAAAACTTTGACAGGAGTCAGTAATCAGTTGGCATTGTTAAAGTCTACCATCCTGGAAGAAACTATGTCAGGCAAATTAGTAAAAGTAAATGGAAGAAAAAAAACAATATACCGTATTTTTCGCTCCATAAGACACACTTTTTTCTCCCCCAAAAAGGGAGGAAAATGTCAATGTGTCTTATGGAGTTAATATGGATAGGCCAGTCCGGTATTTCCGCCACCGCCGCAACCGTGTCAGAATACCGGGCCAGCCGCTCAGCTCTTCTCTGCAGCAGGACCTTACCTGTTCCTTGGTCCACTGCTGTGCAGTCTTCCTGCGCCGGCAACTTTAGTGTGGGCACCCAGCTGTGACAGCCGGGTGTCCACTGCGCATGCACGAGAAACGCTGCGGTTTGTGAATGGTCCGGCATCTTCTGGGACACATAACAGGTCCCAGAAGACGCCGGGCCATTCACAAAGTGCAGCGCTTCTTGCACACGTGCAGTGGGAACCCGGCACAGCCGAGTGCTCGCACTAAAGGGAGGGCAACTCCACGGAAGTGGGAGCGGGTACCTGTCAAATTCAGGTACCCGCTCCCCCTCCCTCCCCAAAGGTCCACAGTCTCTGGTCATCCCTGTACTGTCTGCAGTCTCTTGGTCATCTCCTGTACTGTCTGCAGTCTCTGGTCATCTCCTGTACTGTCTGCAGTCTCTGGTCATCTCCTGTACTGTCTGCAGTCTTCTGGTCATCTCCTGTACTGTCTGCAGTCTCTGGTCATCCCTGTGCTGTCTGCAGTCTCTGGTCATCCCTGTGCTGTCTGCAGTCTCTTGGTCATCTCCTGTACTATGTCTGCAGTCTCTGGTCATCTCTCCTGTACTGTGTCCGCAGTCTCTGGTCATCTCCTGTACTGTGTCCGCAGTCTCTGGTCATCTCCTGTACTGTGTCCACAGTCTCTGGTCATCTCCTGTACTGTGTCCGCAGTCTCTGGTCATCTCCTGTACTATGTCCGCAGTCTCTGGTCATCTGTACTGTGTCCGCAGTCTCTGGTCATCTCCTGTACTGTGTTCACAGTCTCTGGTCATCTCCTGTACTGTGTCTGCAGTCCATTGGTTCAAAATATTTTTTTTCTTGTTTTTCTCCTCTAAAACCTAGGCGCGTCTTATGGTCAGGTGCGTCTTATGGAGCGAAAAATACAGTAGTTCACTAAAGAGGTAATTAGGATAGTAAAGGAGAAAACCACGGCATATAGGGGAATCAAGGAAACAGTAAGTGTAGCTGATAGAGAAATCTATAAAAATAGACAAAGGGAGGCCTAACACATTATCAGTGCTACTGAAGCAAAGAAAGTGTAGGAAATGGCTAAATCTATTAAGAAAGGAGACAAAAACTTTTTAGGCATATCAGTGATGAAAGGAAAAATGTAATAAGATCACTCAAATGAAAACTGGGCACAACCATTTAAACAATTACATTTGTTCAGTCTTCTTAGAAACAGCTTGTACTAACAATAACAAGTTTGGGGATCACATTGGTTCTAGTAATGATGGTTCATTTTCAGGATTTTAGAAAAAGAGGTAACAGAGGAACTGGCTCAGTTAAAGCTAATAAAACTTGGGTTCCTGATGGTTTCCATCCTAGAACTCTAAAAGAACTTGGAGGTAAAGTTCTTGGACCATTAACTAAGCTTTTTAATCAATCTCTTCTTGTTCAAACATTTTATTGGCATTATAACACAGGGGAGAGGGACATTTACAGTAGGCATTAGACATTATATTGACAGCAAAATACAGGGGAAAATATACATAGTGTCAATGTCTTTATATAGAGGAGGAGAGAAAGAGTCAAGAAAACAATGCAGCATATTTTATGGCGTCAAGTAAATACAAATTATTAGCAAGAGGTAGTAACATATCATAAAGAGTTTGATCAGTGGGGGTAAAGACTCTCCAGAGCTGCGTGATGAGTTAGGGATAGACAGAGGAGGATTGAGGAAGGGGGGGGAGAGAGAAGGGTGACGGGGATGACTCCATGATTGGTAGAGAAGGATGTAATAATTTGTGTGTTCCATTGGAAGTGGTACCAGGATAGTGCTGAAAATATATAGTTTGCATATCAGGGAAGAAGAAGTGATTCATCAAAATTTTGCGGGAGGAAACACTCTACCCAGGGATTCCAGACATTCAGGAACTTAGGGATTGTATCTAGGATTGTGGCTTCCACCTCTGCGTGTATCAGGGCTTGAGTTACTCTAGTTTTAACAGCAGCAATGCTTAGAGTGGGGGATTTCCAGGATTTTGCTATGACCTGCTTGGCTGCTGTGGTTACTTGCAGGATGAGTTTGAATTGTGATGTAGTTACGCCAGGAGGGCGTAGATTGAGAAGAGCTGTTGTCGGAGTAGGTTGAAGCGTGTTTGCGCTAAGTTTGGATATCATATTAAATACATCTGCCCAGAAGGTTTGGGCTATTGGGCAGTCCCACCAGATGTGATAATGTGTTCCGGGTTTGCATAGCCTCTAAAGCAGTTGGAGTAGTTAGGGGTGTATTTTGCAATTCTCACTGGAACCAAGTACCAACGAGATAGAACTTTATAATTGGTTTCCAAGGCTACAATGTTCTGTGAAGATGATTTTGTGTTGGCCCAGATGTGGTCCCAATCAGATAGGTCTAGTTGTCTGTTTAGGTCTGTTTCCTACCTGTGGGTATATGAAGGGGGGGGGTGCGGTGGTCGAAGTTGTGAGAAGGGAATATAGGCATGAAATGAGGCTGCGCCTATGGGGATCTTTATAGCAAGCCCGTTCAAAGGGAGACATGGTATTAGTTTGGTTAGGTATTATAGTGTAGGGGCCGTAAAAGTGTTGTAATTGTAAACATCAAAATATTTTGGATGCTGGGATGCTATAAGTTTCTTGTAATGAGGCAAAGGATTTGAATTTGTTCCTCTACAGAAAATGATGGGTGCGGAGAAGGTTAGCAGCGGTCCATATTTTGAATGAGAGTGGTGATGACCATGCCGGGGGAAAAGCTGGGTTCTTGAGATATGAAAGTAAGGGGTTATGTAGTGATTGGAGAAGGTAGCGATTCTTCAGTTTGTCCCATAAAGATAGAAAGTGAGAGGTGATGGGATTTGTTATCGAGCGGCGGTCAATTGGTCTTAGCCAAAGTAAATTAGCCGCGGACAGGGGGTCACATTCTATAGATTTAAGAACAACCCATTGAGGAATTTCATAGGTTGCATGGTATTTTTGCAACTGTGCTAAGTGTGTCGCCTGGTAATATTTACCGATATCGAGAAGACCAAGACCGCCGTTGAGCTTGGAGCGATATAGGTTGGAGCAGGGTAAGCGGGGGCAGATAGTGCCCCATACGTAGGAGAAAATGCGACATTGTAGTATGCGAAGGTAACGGGAAGGTACTGGGATTGGGAGAACTCTGAATAAATATATAACATTTTTGGGAGGTTTGACATCTTTATGACAGCTATTCTGCCTTGCCACGCGAGTGGTAGGGAGGACCATTTGGTCATAAGAGCAGTAAGATGAGTTAGCATAGGAGTATAGTTAGCTGTATAAAGATCTGATATGTTGGGGGTCAGTTTGATTCCCAAGAAAGGAATATGATGCTGTGACCAAGGAAATGGGAGAATCTGTTTCAAGTGGGCCAACTCTTTAGGGGGGAGGGAGATATTAAGTGCCATTGATTTGTGGGGATTTATTATAAGGCCAGAGAGTGAGCCAAACCTCTCGAGAAGCTGGAGGAGGGAAGGAGAGGAAGTCAAGGGAGAAGTGAGAAAAAGTAGAATGTCATCCGCAAAGAGGCATAACTTGTGGTGAGTGCCACCTATTTCAAGTCCCCAGACATCCGGATTGGCTCTAATTAGGAGGGCTAGTGGTTCCATGGCCAAAGCAAAGAGTAAGGGGGAAAGGGGGCAGCCCTGTCTTGTGCCACGGGAGATTGGAAATGAGCAAACCTGTGTCCTAGGTATCTAATTCTGGACGAGGGCTCTCTATATAGTGAGAAAATCCAGGTTAAAAAAGTGAGGGTCAAAGCCCCAACGGCACAGAATGTAGTTGTAGATATGGCCATGATACCATGTCAAATGCTTTCCGGATGTCCAAGGACAGGAAACAGGCAGTTATGTTGCGGGTTTTAGCAATATGTGCCGAAAGAGTTGCGCATCTGACGTTATCTCCGGCTTGTCGAATTGGAATAAAGCCCACTTGGTCATTATGAATTAGAGAACCTATATACACATATTAAGGTGTGTGGAAAGGATTTTGGCAAGTAGTTTGATATCAATGTTGAGGAGAGAAATTGGCCTGTAATTGGACCACTGCGTGTCATCCAAATTAGGTTTTGGGATCATTGAGATGTTGGCTTGTACTGTTTCTAGGTTGAAGGAATGGCCCGATAGTATGGCGTTAAAAGCATTAGTAAGGATGGGCGTTAGAAGGTGAGCAAATTTTTTGTAATATGTGGCGGAAAAACCATCTGGTCCTGGGCGTTTATGAAGCTTTAAATTTTTTATTGCGTTTAAGGTTTCGATTGGGGTGATAGGTTGTTCTAACGCTGCCAGTTGGTGTTCAGCAAATGTCGGGAAGGAGATGGAGGCCAGGAGGATGTCGGCCTGGGTGGGATCAAAGGGTGTGAAGAGAGAGTAAAGTCGTGAAAGATGTTTGTGAAAGATTTGTAGAATGCCTTCCGGATTACTATTGAGGTTGCCAGAGGAGGTGAGTATTCAAATAGGTCTAGTAATCTGATCAAGCCTACGAAGCGAAAGAGCTAAGAAGGTGTTGGGTTTATTTGCTTTTGTATAGTGTTTGTGCTGAGATCTACGAAGTGAAAGCTCTGCCTGGTCCGTGAGAAAAAAATCAAGAGCTAATTGGTCTCACTCAGAGCTTCACGGTGGTTGGCTGATGTAGGGGTCGCTTGGAAGGCTTGATGGGATTGGTTATAAGTTTGTTCGAGAGAGAGACATTGCTGTCTTTTCGCTTTATTTAGAAAGGACGCTTTGCTAATGCAGAATCCTCGTTGAACCGGTTTATGTGCTTCCCAAAGGAGGAGAGGAGAAATTTCAGGTGTTTGGTTTAGAGATAAATAATCCTTAAGAGCGGCTTCGATTTCTGAGCAGTGGGTTGGATTTGATAGTAAATGATCATTAATGATCCAGGAGGGGTCAGTAGGGGGTGGGGCTAGGGAGGCCATGGAAGTGAATACGATATGATCTGACCAAGGGATTGGAAGTATTTCAGAGGTCAAAAGCCGGGAGGAGGAACTGGCAGTTATGAGAATGTGATCTATCTTAGAGAAGGTCTTATGGGGGTGAGAGTAGAAAGTGTATTGGCATTTAGTTGGGTTAAGTTCCCTCCAGGTATCTGTCATGTAATGGCACTGTAGTACGGCTTAAGGGTTTGCTTAGGGCTAGGGAGGGGGGAAGGTTGAGGAGATTTGTCAAGGAAGGGATATAAGGTACAGTTTGAGTCTCCGCAGACAAACAGAGTACCTTGCTTGTGGTGATCTGTAACCAATAGTAAGTGGGAAAGGAATGGTAGGGGACCTTGGTTCGGGGCATAATATGTAGCAATGGTAACGTCCACATCTAAGAGTTGTCCTGTTAGCAGGAGATAACAACCCTCTGGGTCTTTGATTGTATTATAAAGTGTAAAAGGGTGTTGTGTGGTGGAAGGCGATGAGCACCCCTCTGCATTTGGTTGTGGTTGAGGTCGTGTAGACCTGTGAGTAACAGGGGCCAAAGAACTTGGGAGTAGAATTGGGAGTGTAGTGTGTTTCTTGCAGGCAGACTACATGGGCCTTAAGTGATGCAAAAGAGCGGAAGGCTTTGTTGCGTTTCTGTGGCGTGTTGAGACCCTGAACGTTCAGGGTGAGAATATTTAAGCCCATA